CCTCCCTCCCTCCTCCTCCTCCCTCCCTCCCCTCCCTCCCTCCCCTCCCTCCCTCCCTCCCCTCCCTCCCTCTCCTCTATCCTTCCCGTTCCCTCTATCTCCTTCGCCTGCTCGCTTCTTTCGTCGCTCATTTGCTCTTCTTCTTTCAGTATGACGCGCTCGAGTTTCTGGTCCGAACTGTCCCTGGTTCTTGTTTCTCCCTCCGCAAAGCTCAAGGCTCTGACCGCACCCGCCTCAGAATGCATCTTCGCCGAGTGCAACGACGGCAGGAAGCCCATCGGTGACGCAACTCCCACAAGCATCATCCCCCGTTCTTGCTGCTGCTCCTGCTGCTCCTCCCCCTCCTCGTGCTCCTCCTCTCCTCGTCCTCTCCTCCTCCTCCTCTCCTCCTCCTCCTCTCCTCCTCCTCCTGCTGTTCTGCTGCTTCTTCTCCTCGTGCTGCTGCTTCTTCTGCTCCTGCTCCTGCTCATGCTCCTGCTCATGCTCATGCTCATTCTGCTCGTGTTTTTCTTTCTGCTTCTCCTCCTCCACCTCCTCATGCTCCTCGTCTTGCTTCTCCATTTCCCATCCTCCTCCTGTTTCTCCTGTCCTCCTCCTCAACCACCACCAACGCCTCCTCCTCCACCTCCGCCTCCTCCTGCCCCTGCAAGTTCTTCTCCTGCACCTTTTGCAGCTCCGCCTGCTCCTGCCCCTGCAGCTCCTGCTCCTTCTCCTGCTCCCCTCCTTCCTCCTCTTCCTCCTGCTTTTGATCGCTGAACTTTCGGCAGACATCGCGAGGAAGGGCAAGTGCAAGAGGCTTCTGACCGACACGCTAGCCAAGAGGTTCTCATCATGTCGGAGCTCCGGCCCGCAGCTCACTTCCATCTCAGCGTGTTGAAGAGAAAGGCTTCCCCCGAGGGCCTCAAACTTCACATGAGGTGCTTGTGATTCCCGTCCTCCTCCTCCTCCTCCTCCCCTCCCCCTCCTTCCTTGCTGACCCCGTGACTCTTCCCTCCTCCGCCTTCACATCCTCCTTTCCTCTTCTGGCCTCCTTCCTTGGCCCTCATGCTGAAGCAGGAAAGGAGAAGAGAAGCCGAGCATCCCTCCCCTCGACCCCGATGATCGCATGGCCAACTCCGCCGGCTGCAGCTGCTGCTTTTGGAGGCGAAAGTAAAGGTACCTCGTCTCCTGCTCCCTCCCTTACTTGCTCTCAGCAGGCCAGATCGCGTGCCCGTCCTTCGCAAACAGGCAGTGGCGGTGAGAGAGGAAGAAAGAAGGATGGCAGAGGGTCAGGAGGGGAGAGGAGAGGAGGAGGTGCTCTTGAGGAGGGTATTTGGGCAGTAGGTTGAAAGCAGAGGAAGACGAGGAGGGTATCACCGTAACGATTGCTGGCAGAAGGAGGAGAAGAAAGATTTCCACGACAACGCCTTCTCAGTCAGCGGGCGCGATCGTTTTCTCAGCGGGGGGCGAGAGAGGTTCCATTCGGGCCGAGGGTCTTTGCCGGAAGAGACCATCTACTAGGGGCCCCGGCAGTTCCTCCGCGCCTTCTATAACAGTTTGCAGAGCTGAAATATTTTTCCTCCTTTACGTTACTGGGTTTGTCAAGAGTTGGGACTAGGGCGATGGTTCAACATGTCAGACTATCTCATTCAGATTTGTATTGCTGAGCTATGAACAAAAAAGGCATCCAAGCACTACCTCATGTATGTACATCTCCTTTCATTCCCTTACCTCCTCCCCACTTCACCCCACCCCACACGCCTCGTTTCCCTTTGTCCACTCTCCTCTCTCCTCTCTCCTCTCTCCTCTCGCTTGCCCCGTTTCGTCCTTCATCCCCATCCCATTGGCTCCCTACGAAGAAACCCGATGCTAGAACCATTCACACAGCTGGGCTGCTGCTGAACCCCTCCCTGCCTGAACGCGTCCATGCTCTGCCCCCAGCTCGTCATTCCTCCGCCATGGCTCCAGTCCTGCGAGGCCACCGGAGGAGCTGCGGCGAAGGAGCCATAGGGCATCTGCTGACTGGCCATCAAGCTCCCAGGGTAGGACGGGAACCCGTACGAGTGTCCCTGCTGCAAGTTGAAGTCACTCTGAGCTAGCGGCGAGACAAGATCTTGCGAGCTGATGAACTCGGCGGCAGCTGGTTGGAAGGTGAAGGGCTTGTTGACCGGAGTCGCCAAGGCTGATTGAGACAGAGCTGGGAAGGGGTTGTGAGGTTGGAAAACTGTGTTGGAGGTTGCGAACGTCGGCTGATGCTGAGCCTGGAAAGGGGTAGATGAACCAGCAAACCCTTGTTGTGCAGGAAAACCAGCCTGAGTTGGGAAAAATGATTGAGCCGAAAGATCAGACTGGCAGCCGAAAGAAGAATGCGAAGAAAAAGTGGGCTGAGCTGAGAAAGAATTTTGAGGAGGAACAGGAGCCTGAGCTGAGAAAGGGCTTTGAGCTGGAAAGGCAGACTGGGGAGGGTAAAGAGGCTGAGACGCCATCGAAGAGCTGAGAGATGGCTGGAGGGTCAAGGATGGCTGGGCCAGAGTTTGGATGCCATGTGCATCTCGGGTATGAGCTGCCGGCCCAGCAAAAGAGCCTGACATGTCGCACATACCACCGAGGCCGCGTTGGGGAGTTGAAGATAGCAGCGGCTGGCGAGAGTTTGGCATTCCTGGAGACATCTCGGGGAACTGAAGCTTCATAGCTACACCTGAGATCCCGTCAGGGAAATCGAGTTGGCGAAGGGCGTTAGTAGCCAAATGAAACTCTGGAGTGATTGAGTCTGGGGTTGCGCAAGTCTGATAGCGAGACCCGACAGGCGTCACCTTCTCCTCCAGCGGCTCAGCCAGGGACGGGAGCTGAGGAGTTCTTCGTGCCCTCCTGCGTTTCTTCACAGCGGGCTGGGCAGCAGTCGGCACGTTCAAGCCGCCTGAGCTCGACGGCTGAGTGGAATTCGATGTCAAAGTTGAAGTCAACGGCTGCAACTGCGTCGGTTGTGCGACCGAAGTCCGTGGCTTCCGGCCATGTAACGGTTGAAACATCTCAAATCCAATGACCTGCGTATTGAGAAGCACATAGTTGGCCCTAGCTGGCTTGGCTGGAGCCTTGCGACTTGTCCCCTTGCTGGCCTTCAAGCTGCCAACAGCTGAAGCGCTCGCAGGACCTGGCGGTACAGCAGACCCGCCAGCTGAGTCTTGCGAGATGATCGCCATGGCATATGAGCAACTCTTGAATCGCTTCTGCGGGCTCGACATCTCCTCAGCAGCCGCATCATCAGCCCTTTGCCCGGCTCCCTCCTCCGCCATCGACCCTCCCTCCTCTACTACTTGTCCCTCCTGTGTCAACTCCTCCAATCCCTCTCCTATACCCGTCGCCTCCTCTGGTGCTGCTTCCTGTTCCAGCATCCTCTCTCCCTCCTCCTTCCCCTCTTCCGCATTCTCCACCTCCTGCCCTGCTCCCACTCCCGCCGTCGTTGTCCCATCCTCTGACTCCGCAGTATCCGCCATTCCTCCTCTCTCCTCTGATTCTTGTCCATCAGATCTCACCAGCTCCTCTGCTCCATATCCTGCCATCGTCGCTCCTTCCTGCTCTTGTCCTAGCTGCATCACATCCTCCTTCGCCGCCACCGCCACTGCCGTCGCGACCACCTCTGCCTCCTGGTTCATGCCTCCCTCTCCGACACTCCCCTCGTCCTTGGAGGGCGTGCTGGAAGCCATGTCGTCTCCCAGCTGGCCGACTCCATCCTCTGCTGTTTCAGGGATGTCTGAGCAAGAGCCCGTCAGATCTACACAAGCCTCAGCGTCTTCCTTGGGTTGATTTGCCCCGCGTCTGCTTCTTGTGTACGCTGAGCTCCTGCCCCTGTACGATCTTCTCTTGGATCGTTTTGGTGGACTTGAAACCTCCTCCCTTACATCCTCTTCGTCTGCCTGTCCGTCGCATGATGCCTCTCCTGCCGTAGTCGCTCCTTCCTCCAATGCCTGTTCGTTGACCGTATCTTCCTTGTCTTGTCTGCCTCCTGCCGTGGTCGCGACCACCTCTGCCTCCTGGTTCATGCCTCCCTCTCCGACACTCCCCTCGTCCTTGGAGGGCGTGCTGGAAGCCATGTCGTCTCCCAGCTGGCCGACTCCATCCTCTGCTGTTTCAGGGATGTCTGAGCAAGAGCCCATTTTGATTTAACCGGAAAACTTTGAAGACTGACTGGTGTCTCGTATTTAGAAACGCGACTGGGAGACGTCGGCCCACATTGCTTGTTCAAAGCGATCTCGCATGTCTCGTCATCTTCGAGTGCTTTTCTTTGATGTGAGTTCTTCTTGTCATTACCTTTTGAGATTTCTAAGATTGAATCCTGTTCCTTTGCTTCATGTTGTCTGACTTTGTGGCGCTCAGGATTTGAAGGCCCGGGTAATTTGACATCGAGCTCTGCGATTTTGATTGTGGCTGTGACGTCACGTTTCCTGCAGATAGCAAATGCACTCTCCATTCGTCGCGCTGCGAATTCAGAGTCTCTGCTCTGCGACCTGCACTTGTGGTGCGAGGGGTGGCTTGATTCAACTCCACTGAAGGGTTTTCCTCTAGAATCATCAGCTCTGTACTCCACATCATGGCCATCCACATCCAAGTGAAGCTCTTCCGACATTTCATCTTTCATAGCGATTGAGGAAGGAGCATTTTCATCGTCCCTGTCGTCGCAGGTGAATTTTGGAGGATCATCCACAACCTCCTCCTGCAAAGCCCTTCTTTCACCCTGTTTGAAATCGAATCATCTAACGGTCGAAAGAATGAACGAGGGTAGGTGCTTACCGCAGACTGACAGACTGCTGAAGGTTCACGTTCACTCTCACTCTTACGGTTTCCATCATTCAAGTTCTCTGCAACCGTTACATCTGCCGCAACAGACGTACGCATGTCGGAGCGCACCTAGTACAAATCAAGAATCTTAGATCTAGGAAGAATCATTCCAAGTCACAAACCTCATTTTGACCACAGATCTGCGCGAGAAAAGCACCCCGATTCCGACGCGACAAGACTTTGTTATCCACGGTAGAAGTGTGCTTATGATTGTTGTTCTGTACAGCATTGTTGACTTCACACTTTGATCGGGCTGATTTCAACTCTTTGTCAGCAATCTTCGTTGAGGAATCCGCATCATAGGATCCCATGACGTCGCTCGTTTCAATCTTGGCAAGTGGATCTTCTGTTGTCTGACCATCAAGCGGATCTTCTGAAAAGGAATGCACGGATTCAAGATTATCCGCCCATCGCACAGAAAGTTTGCATTTGGTTGGCCACTCATTCAGCAAAAGACTGCTCGCCTGAACATTTAGCAAACTTCTCGATCCCTTCATGTTGCTTCGAACTGGACGTTTGTTCCTGTCAAACGCGAGAGCTGCTGATTTGTTATCTGCCGTGTCTATATATTGAGACGTCACTGCAACAATGAATTCGTCGTTCCGATTTGAGTCGGGCTTGTATTCTTCGTGATCCAGCCGCTTGACGCAAAAGAACTTGATACAATCCCACAGCCATCTCTCCTGCATCGATACTGAGCGTTTCGTTTCATTCAGCAAGATTCTCATTACCTTGACGACAGGGATCCTCTTGCGTTGAGCATACTCAAACTTGTCTCCGTGCGCATTGGTCGCGATCAAGACAGTGCATGTAGTATCCAGATGATCCGACCATGTCGCCCCGCATATTTCTGCCGCTCTTTTGAGAGTCTGCTTTCCGTTTGGCCCTGAAAGAATCTCATCATTTAGGAGTACCATGAAAGCAAACCACACCTTGTCCTGTTGAACATATTGTATGCCCATCCAGCAGTCTGAATCGATGATCCCACGGTTTTTGCAATGTGCGCAGTTTCCAGCAACTGGTGAGAAGAGTCAGGTTGGCATCCTTGCGAGGCACAATCACCTTTGCAACCAGGAAAGGTTAACCACTGAAATCTCCGCATCTCCGTTTACACAATTCATCAATCGTGTGCCCAGTATACTCTTCTCCATATTCTCTGCAGTCAAGATTGAAGGTGATAGAATGATTACCCTGGTCTTTTCTTCGATCTCGTTCTGATAATCTCCTCCCATGGCATTGACCATCATGCATACATCCTCAATCTCTTTATCGCTGTTGGCATCTGTTGCATACGCAACATTCCACCCGTAAAGTGTTGAAGTTAAATGCATGCGGCAGCCGGGATCAACCATATCAGGAATCCCTTTGCCGCATGAGAAGCAGTGCTCCAAATATTCTATCCCCAGAATCACAAGTCTATCCATCAACTTAGATTCCCGCGATAGCTGTGTCAGTTCCTTGAGAACCCTCCTTCGGAACCTATTAGCAGCCTGCATGTCGCCCGAAGAAACAACGACGAGGCTGCTGGTCGGCGTTTCATACTTGTCTCTGATGATGACTTTGTGACTGGCAATCTTGACCTGGGGTATCCCTAGGCAATCAAGCACATGGCATGCTCTTATTACTTCTTCCGACGTCAAGCACGATCCTAAAGTCGCTATCATGTTTGATTCTTTGACCATTCAACCCCTAGTCTTGATCACTGTTTTCCGAGTGAAGAAAGACTGGATCAATCACACATGGTTCGAAGATGACAGGTGTGATCAACAATTGACCTTGAAATCAAATCAAATTCAATGGAGCCTGGACAAGTCTTCTTCCATTCTTTCCAGCGCCTGAAAGCTGAGTAAGAAGCAAATCAACATTGAGCGACTATTGTAAACGACTAGATTTGTTTAAGTCACATGTAATGTGTTTTGTCGTGTGATTATTGTGCCTGCATATGCCCCTACCTGCTAGCGTGCACCACGGACACGATGTTTCAACGAAATCGAAATCATCACAGATTTGCTTTCCTTTCTTGCTAATGGATCCTCCATCCCTTCCCTCTACGTCACCCCCATCAGTTCAGTTGACAGTCATTCTGCATTCTCTGCCTACACTCTCATTCTGCATTCTCTGCCTACACTCTCATTCTGCCCTGCTCCTGCGTCTTCTATCGGGCTTCGACAGGATGAATTCGCTGAGCATGCCCGCGCGCGCCAAATGCAGAAAATCCGAAAGAAGGGTAGTTTGCTGAAAAAGTGTTATAAATTTTATTGTCTACACAAGATCATTTTCAAATATCAGATATCAATTTCATCACTTTTCGGTGAGGACAGGCTGAGGACCCCTGGCGAAAAATGGCCACTAGAGACAGAAACTATCTCCCGCCAACACAACGAAACAGTAACGGAAACTGTAACCGTAAAATCACCCGGTCCATCGGGGCCGAACAGACTCGGACTGGGTGACTGGGGGGTCCGACGGTTGAAGTTGCATAACGGTCGCCGAGATTTTGGCGAGATATTTTCAACAAGATCTCTGTAGAGTTTCAAATTTCCTAGCAAGATTTCACAACGCTAAGATCTCCCGCGGCACGAGCTTGGCCTTAAATGTCGGGGAATGTCAGGGCGGGGAAGGCAGGGCAGGAGAATGAAGAGAGAAGATGAAGAGAGACAAGTGAGCACGAGAAGGAGACGAGGAAGGAGTAGAAGTAACGTGAGAAGACTGAGCACTGCTGCTCACGAAGGAGAAGAGGAACGATCCAAGTAGAACATAGAGGCCCGATGATGAACAGCTGAATTGATTAAGTGCACACTTTTAGGATATCAGGTGATTGGAGACGAGAATGGAAAGGGGCGACTAGGCACAGGATGGGTTTGAACAGTTCGTTGCCTTGTTTGGTTGAGAAAAGGAGGAGGCAGATAATGATTTTCTCATACCGCAAGTGATTACTGTTGAAACCTCTTGACTCAAAACCCCTCCTGGGCAGCCTGGCCGACTGACACCACGCTCCCTTTAGATGAACAAGTCTACTCAATTTAACCTCGTTGTTGCTGCTGGAGCCATCGCCAGCTTCTCCATCGTCGCTCTCCAGCGACACTATGGTACACAAACTTACTCGTGTTTGTGTGAAAATGACTTGGATCGATAGCTCCCGTGCACAAGTTGAACCACGATGGCAGCACATCCAAGGTTGTTGAGAACTACAACAGATTCCGCCAGACCAACTGAAGCCATCTGGTTTGAGTAGCGTCAGGATGAATCCTTGATATGTAATGTAGACTTGGTCAAGAGATTGTCCTCTTTGCGCGCTGCACCCCAACTCTAGGGTGTTCGTTTCAGGAGCCATGACTTCTTTTCTCCGAATCCTGTCATGCCATCCCAAGTCAAACTCCATTCACGTCTGATACTGGTATTGATATCACCTGGGATCGGCATCCATTCCTCCCACTTCTTCTCCTTCTTCCTCATCCAATCTTGATGCTCGTCCTCATCGCTTGTGGAGGAAGTTGCGTGTGTATTTGCTGCCTTTGCTTCCTTTCCTTTGTCAGTCATGGTCCTTCCCCTGCTGCCAGCCGGCTGTTCGCTTGGCTGCGGTGAGGCCTGCTGTAGCGCGAACAGTTCAGTTCAGAGCTTTGATCTCCTCAAAGCAATAGAGTCTCTTCTACCTGTTTCTTTGGGTGCAAAGAAGATAGCTTCTTCTTGAGAGCAGCTAGAATCCCCTCAATTTTCTGACAGGTCGCATGTCAGTACGAGGACATGCCGTGCGAAGCATTCACGAAAAGAACCACAAAACAATCTCGCATTGAGCGATCCTTACATTCATCGCTTTCATGGTTGCTGAGAGCTTCGAGGCATCTTGTCCGGAAGATTTTGCACTCTTCGCGCCAACCACGCGTTGCAGCTGTGGATCAACAGGAGCATTTCAACCATGTGTTATGTTGAATCTGCGAACTCACATCATAGATCATTTTCCGGAGCTTCAGCCTTTCGAAGGCAAGCCTTTGGCTCTCTGATTTTGCATTCTCTTCTTTCGTTATGCTCGGCCCGGCTGTTGTCTTCCGTCCTGGTTGTTTGTGCGACTGCGAAATCTTTTTCACGACATTCTGGTAGGCAGTTTGACGTGCAATGGCTGCTTGTGCTTGAGCTTTTGCCTGAATGCTATTTACAACATTACTCGGGTGATCAGTTAGCCGTACCTTTCGATCTAGAATACTCTCAGCACTTTTAGAAGCTTTATCCAACCTGTCTTGTGTTACAAGAAATAATAACTAATTGAAAGCCCTCGCTCACAAATCAGCCTCTCGTTTCCTCCGCTTCCTGCCCAGAAAGAAGCAAAAATCAGACTTGCAATGCTTGTTGGGCACAGGAACTTCTACATTCGCTCCAGCGCAAGGGCCTTCCTCGCCATGGAGAGCGGGGAGGTCTCTGGCGCCTTGCCTGCTTTACTTTCCTGCTGTGTAGCATTCAGTGACCTTGTGGGCGTTCAGCATGACAAGCACTGAACCTGCTTATGAGCCTGCTGTGTACTTGTCGTCGGAGTTGTACTGGATTGATCCCCCCACTTGAGAAAGAAGGACGAGCCATCGGCGTCGTGGTGTTTCACTGGCAACGGAGGGCTCGGAATCTTGAGAGCAGAGCAAGTCAGTGCAGAGAGTTTCAAGGGGCGAGCAGGACCTTATGTTTCCCGTGCTCCAGCTTCCAGCCATCGAGAAGCTGCTTCTTGTTACTCCACCCTGAAAACCTTTGGAGCCCGGGCTGACTCTCCTAGCATTCGCCATCAGAACCGGGTGTGCAAGCAAGAACAAACTGCTGGACGGTCGAGCATACCTTGTGATGAAGATGAGTTGCCTCGTCGCTTTCTTTCTTTGCAATCTTCTTGATCTCGTCTATCGTCTTCAAGGCACCTGAGAGGCTTCAGAGACGGAGCTATCTTGCCCTCATGCTGAGTCACCGGTTTTAACGATCCCAACATGGTCCGTCTTCGTCGCCTCATCGGAGATAGCAGCTTTCCTTACTTCCTTGAGAGAGCTATGGTCATACCATTCATTGGCCTTCTTGAGCTTTCCTTCTTGGTCTGCAAACAAACAAGCATCAACCGATGTATAGCGATCCCTCCATAAATCCAGCCCCAGAGTAAAACCACGTTATCGTCCACATCTTCTCACACAGAGGATTCTGCAGCTGCATTCTCTTAACGTGAGATTTCATCTTCTCACCTCTACCTTCGCTGATTCCAAGCATGCATGCCAATACCGCCGTCACCAGCCGCCGCCTCCAATTCCATCGCTTCCACCATCCCATTTCTGGCATTTCTCCCGAACTATCAGTGCTGCACCGTGCCATCACTGCTGGCACTTGACCGGGCGGGCCGCCCGCTGGGTGGCCCCGGCACTCACTTCAATTCCTTGACTGCGTCACGGCCGCCCCGGCACAGTCACGCCTGGATATTCGACCATTATGAATAACGATATATAAAAAGCATAATATTCATAACGCGCCTGGTGGAAGAGGTCCCCTGTCCACCCCACTTTTGAAGTCAGGAGGCCGGTAGGGGGTCCGAAAGACTGTTTGCTGACGTTATACTTTCTCATAATAGGTGTAGTACAATCATAACAACCTTATGACATTTTATAATGACTATGTCCATGTGCCATCAGCACAATCACGGACACCTCTCAAAGGGGTCGCAGTAACGATCTGTTTGACCTCCTATGAATATTTACCTGTATTTTTGAAATTTGAGAATAAATATTCTCTGATTGGAAATCTGGATTTCAAGGTTTGTCGGGAGGCGGGGCCATGGCTCGTATCTGCAAAGGGGGAATACAAATTTTGTTGAATGAAAATCTCTCCATACCACATTATCCTTCCTAAATTTCAAAAATACATTGAGAAATCGAAATCAATTACTTGTACTACAAGACTGTAGTAATAAGTGTGGTAAAGCATTGCACAAAGATCTGAAACAGAGAAAGGAAGTGCAAACAGCACACAACGGTTGCCAGCAGCAGAGAGTTGAAGCAACGAACGATCAACTTCCTCCCTAAACCACCTTTCTCTTCAACTTTTCCTCAAGAACACGACAGATCGTCTGCTCGGAGCTATCTGGCATGTGTTTGATGGCGTTCCGATGCATGGAGACCGTCGCCCAAAGCTTGCACACATTCGAGGAGGAGAGCTTGCCACGGAGCGTGCATCTGGCAGAGCCTGCGAATGAGGATGTGCAGCCAGTGGGGAACAAAAAGAGTCGAGCCGTGCTGAAGGATGATTTCGAACAGTTTTATGGCATGAACTTGTGTGAGCACACCCTCTATCAGGGCAATCAGGGCATGGAATGTTCAAGAAACAGAAGAGCAAGCTCCGGATCCCTCCAAGAAAAGCAAGGCCCTAGCCCCCTCAATCGACGTTTTTCGTGCTACCTTGGACAATCTTTCTCTGAGGACCATGACGTGTTGACGTCTGCTTCGAAAGACAACAGACTTCTCGAGATTTTGCAAGGGCTTGCGGAGAAAAATGTCGTTGAGAAGCTGCAATGCTAAAGGGAAATCGCTTCGCCTCAATGTTTATTTATGTTTGTTTCTGTTAATTCCTTTTATCTTTTGTATATGAAACCTCGTTGATCACACACCCTCTGCCTGGTTTGCCAAGGCATCTCATTCAGGCGGAATCGCTCACCCTGAGTGGCTCAGCCCTCAGTTATTAGTATCAGAGACCTGCAAACAGTAAGCTCAAGTCTCTCAGTTGATGTGAGAGATATGTCATTCATTAGAAGTGCAAAAGTTTGGACTCCCGAGCTCAAGTCTCCGCAACAAGGAACTTACTAGTTAGTCTTAATCACGGCAGTGAATGACTTGACAGTAATCAGGAGTGATCGAGCCTACTGAATGCCGACTCACTGTCGGTCAGTCAATCCTTGCTGTCACAGTGATCAAGATGGATCGCTGGTGACTGAAAATCGGGCTGTAAACCAATTTGGCAAGACGACCCTTACCGTACGTGGCAAGTTGGCAGTTGCGAGCCTGACGCGGCCGCAGCCGCGGCGCGGCAGTGCCAGGCCTGACGGTCACGGGGGCCGCCGTGACCTGAGTGACTCAGTGACGGTACCGTGCCGTTTGACCGTCGGACCGTACGGCGAAGCGGCGGCCCGGCTGGCGCCGTCCGACTCACAGCCTCCGAGCTCGGAGTCACGGCACCGCGGGCCGTCGGTCGGACTCAGTGAGGCCGCTTCAAGCCGCGGAGCCCTGAAGTCCCGGCAAGCCGGGCCGACCGTCGTCGGACGGCGGCGGGCCGCCGGGCCTTCGATTCGGCGAGTCAACGGTTGAACCCGGCCCCCCGGGCGTCTTTCCGTCGGACTGAGACGGTCCGATCCTCTGCGGCTGAGAGTCTGCCGCCACTCGGACCGTGAGTCGTCACGGCGTGCCGCCGCCGCACTGCGGCCTGAGTGCCCGGCGGCCCGGCCTGGTGAGTCCCTCGGAGTCCCGGACCGCCGACAGTCTCCGGCCTAGTCAACCGCCGCGTGACCACCGGGCCCATACTGGCAGCGGCCACCGGCCCGGGCCCGGCCTCCGCCGGCCCGGCGGGCCGAGCCCCGGGCGGCGCGGCCCCGCCGGGTGGCCGGGCGGGCCGCGGCGTCACTCACTGCCATGCCGGCCGCCCGGCACTCACCCAGGCCGGGCCCCGGCCCGGGCACTGCGGCAAGGCGCCGCGCCGTACGGCTGCGGCACACTCTGCCAGGCTGAGCTTTGGCACAGTCACTGGCACGGTGGCACGGCCATCTGAGCACGCGCCCCCGCGTGGTGCCGCAGTCACTGGGCCCGGGCCGCCCCCCGGGCCCGGCGCGGCGCCGCGGCAGCCGCGGCCCCGGCGGCCCGGTACGCCGGGCAGCCTCCGAGCTCGCCGGGCTGAGGCCCGGGTCGGCCGGGCCGGGCCGAGGGTCGGGCCGGTGCTCAGTGTTGTGTGGGGATGAGGAGCCCATAGAAGTCAGGGAGCTCGTGCGCGGAATGTACAACATGAAGGAACGAGGAAGGGAATGAGAGAAGGGGCAGGGGAAGAAGAGGAGGAGAGAAGAAGAGGAGGAGAGAAGAAGAGGGAGAAAGAGGAAGAGAGCAGAAGATGAAGAGAAAGCGAGGAGAAGGACAGAATGGTCAGGATACAGAGAAAAGGGAGCGATCGAGTTCATATGAGCGATGGGTGTCATCGAGCGAGGGGAAATAGGCGAAGGTAAAAGAATGGAAAAGTATCTTGAGGAACAACGAGAAGTTTGCAGTCAGACAGTAAGGGAGGAAGATGGATGGACGAATACCTTGATGTTACATTGCTAGAGCTGTTGAAGCACGCAGGGGAGGTGAGCAGCTTTGATTGAGCCTTGAAAAACCAGGAAACGCCAACTAGGCTATCAGTTGCTGACCATGTAGAGGGTGAATATGCATGATGGATGAGATGGGTTGGAAGCGCGAGGATTGAGACTTTCCTGCTTGAGCTGGGTGAGGGTAGCAAAGAGGAAGAAATCCTGATGGAAGAAAAGTGGGAAGGAGAGTGTAGAGCAAGGGGAGATCATGCGAGAGGAAG